AATAATATTAATAAAGAAGATTCATCAAATCATAATATTTATGATCCTGTTGAGCATAAATCAAATATTGAAGTCAAAAAGTTCAATTTCAATGTAATGAATAATAATAACAATAATAATAATAATAATATTAGACTTGTATCTGAACCATTTTAAAAATGAAACTTAATTAACACTTACTACTTATTATTACTAATATTAGGGGGAAGATTTATACAGTTTTAAAGTAATATATAGTGATGTAACAATAATTACCAATAACAACAACAACAAGAAATATTTGTAAATCGATTTCAAAATAAAAATGCAATAAAAATATTTTAAGAAAATGAAAAAAAATTTTTTATACATGAATTTTATTTAATTTTTATTAAAAGAAAATGTAGGGTTTTGTTTGGTTGTATTCCAAGTTAACTATCATTTTATATAGTTGAGATCATGAGGTAATTCCTGGAGTTCTAGTGAGAAGTCGTGACCAGTGGAGCTAATCCATATCAGGTAGAAACAGATATCTACCTCAGTACAATGGAAGTTGGTCGCGCAATTTCGTGGATTGGTTGAAGTTAGACACTAACACTGCTGCATGCCGGCTCAGTGGTCTATCGGTTAAGTGTTCCGGTACGAAACTGGTAGACTCTGGGTTCGAATGTCGAGAGGCGGGATCGTGGATACGCACTGCTGAGGAATCCCGCAATAGGACGAAACGGCTGTCCAGTGCTTCCAGGTTTTTCTAGCTTCAATTGACTTATGATCTCAACTATATAAAATTACTAAAATCTCCACAAAACCCCCTTCTGTTAACTATCATTATGTTTTATAATTAATCTTATTCATTGAAGAAATATTTTTTTTCCAATATTAAAAAAAAGAATGAATATTGTATATCATTGAATGGTTGATAGAAAGAATACTTGACACAATAATAATTAGTTAATCGATATTTTTTCTTTCACTGATAAATCAATCAATATGCTTTGAATAGTTTTGAGGAAATTAATTTTTAACATTTTATTTCCCAATTGGGAAAAGTTCCTGATTTTGGATGATGATTGATGTTTAGCTTTGATGTTTGTGTATATGTTTGAAAGAAAAATTTCATAATAAATTGATATAATTAAGATATCAGATGGAAACAGATTATCCCTTACGTAAACTAAATCTTCTACTACTATTCACGATGAGTAGGTCGAGTGACAAATATGATCAGAGTAGAATCTGGCACAAATGTATATTGAACCAACTTGACACACAAAAAATGAAATTGACAAGCTGAATAAGAATTTAAAGTAACAGTAGTATCAGAAAGAATAAGCAAAGAAATTACGGTTTGAAAAGGATGAGTGAACTTGAGAAATAAAAGCCATGAATTCGTACATCAAAAACTACTCACGAAAAGGTTGTATACAACTAATCTCAGGTATTTGTTTCTTGAGCATTATAGTTACATTCCTGAGTAAACAAGACCCTCATTAGTTTAGTATTCTTTTCATGATTATTAGGAATAAAGATTCCTACGTATAATAATTAAAAAGCGTCAAACTCCAGTAAATCCTACAACAACACACAAGTTCGCTGTATTCATGTAATATTGTCAACGCATATTTATGCTATGCCTTACATAGTTATTGATTGGTGATTTCTATATAGATGTGAGTGTTAGTAATGAGAGAAACTTCACCTAACAGCTAAGTTAATTTCTTGAAGTGAATAGATTAGCACACATCACCGAAAAAGACAACAATAATTCGAGTGGTATTCGGCAGATTATTATTCAGTGTCATTTGCAATGGTCAGTCAGTCACAACGTAGGACTTCGTACGTACGTACATCAATTCAAGTTGCCATACCACATTAGCACAGAGATGAAGTTGTCGATTCGAATCCCATAGTTGTAGAAGTATTAAGAGTATAAGCATTATGTGGAAGATTAGGGTTCGAAGATGTTATTCAAGTAGTATAGTACAGTTAAATAAATTTGGAAAGAGAAAAAGAATAGGGACATGAGGAATTCAGAAGATTAGAATTTGGTAGAACACAAAGAGTGGATACACCTTCGCCATTGCAAACGATTTTGAGCCATGTCATTCAAGGTCTCTAACCATCGGTTGCTATCATCTCGCGAATCCAAATCAGGTAGTCTACACCTACCAACATGGCTCAGTTCACTTGTCAGCGACTTCATGGATTTATGCCACGTTTTGGTCTGGCCGCCCCTAGCTTTCTTTCAACCTACTCCTACATCATAAAGCATTGCACGTCGGTGGTTGTGCATACGTAACATGTGTCCCAGCCATCTCAACTGATGAAGTTTCACTACTTTATCAATCGATTTGCCACCATTACCTAGTACCCGTTTTTTAACAACTGCATTACTTACCCGGTAGTCCTAGGATATGCGAGCAATGCTTCGAAGACACCTATGATCGAACACTAGTAGCCTACGAATTTCCTCTACTCTTATTGGCCATGTTTCACTGCCATAAAGTAGGACGGAGCGAACTGCTGCACAATAAACCCGTCCTTTAGTTGCAATGGTATCCAAACGAAAAATAGTCTCGACAGATATGCAACATTAATCCATCAGATAATAACGCGATCGTTAGTGTATAGTTACTTGGGATGTAAAACACTTCATTACGTGTTTACTGACTCAATAAACTAAATGATAGCTGATGTTAGAGTAGGTTGTGATGAAGTTAGGGGCAATCATACCAGAAAATGGCATCAGTCCATGAAGACTCTATTTGATTGAGCCATGTAGACAGGTACAAACCACCTGGTTCGAGTGATTATCCTTATCAATGGTTAGAGGCTTTGTGTAACATGGCTCAGAATCATTTCCAATGGAGCAGGTGCATTCACTCTTTAGCATTCATGGATTTTAAATTTTTCCATTTCCTATACATTTATTTACTCTACATATTTATATTTTCTTAAGTCATCCTCAGTGATCAATCTTTCCTATCACCACTAATACTGTTACTATACCTGCTACCCTGGAATTTCCCTCCACATTCTCATATCGCTAATGCTAACGGAGTAAGGCAGCTTGAACCGACGTGCACATGTGTAAGGTTATACGTTGTGTAAAACTAACTGATAATTCAGTGCCATTATTTCGCAAGATTTAACTCAATGGCTTTGCCATATTTTGCAAATACTGTCACAGTATTTTCCACATAGTACATTACCTAGTTACACTAAGGGCGGGTAGAAACAATACATAGTCGGTTTGATATGGTACGTTGAAACGAATGGTAGTGTTGGATTACTGTCGCTATATCATAACACACTGGGTGGGGCCCTAAAGATCCAGTAACTCAGTGGCTCCAAGCATCATCACACACGACTTGGAATGGAAGATATTACTGATCCTACTGTAGTCTTGCAAGGTGTTCATTAGACAAGAAGTACACCACTTGTTGATATTCTTGAACTATGTTTTTCACTAAATAATAATCTCGTGAATTCACTTGATATTGTTTGGTTGAATCTTCTCAGTGATGCTTAGGACTGCGATTGATCATTCTCTTATTGGCACATCGAGACAATACACACAGTATGCACACATGCCAATAAGAGACTGACCAATTGCAGTCTTAAACATCAATGAGGAGATTCAAGTAAACAATATCAAGTGAAATTAAACTTCACCCTATTGCACAAGAAAGTGGTTATCAGGACTCTGTAGTTAAACGGATAACGTGATGGCGTCTGAAGCGAATGGCACTTGGTTTGAATCCCGGAGTGAACATGAACTCTGAGATGCACGTTCATTCAGCCGACGCGTACCAGATAGGACGAAACGCGCATCCTGGATTTCACTGCTAGACACTATCCATCTTTGCTAATAATCTCGCGTTTTACCAATAAGATTATTTTACCGTTATATTCTCCACAGGATAGCATGTCATCCCTACAAGTATATGAGAATCAAGTTTCCTTTCTGTTATGCAGCAGTAAAGCAATAAATGGATAGCCTTATTTTTAATAACTGATACATCAATTCCTTTTTGGAGTTGATATCGATTTACATGTTCTAGTCTTTAATTCAGAAAGTAGTTTTTCGAACCATTAAGCCAAATACCTCCAATTGAAATTGTAATCAGTACACAAAACAATTTCATCCAGTTTATTATTGGAACATTTCGGATGGCAATGAATACAAATAACTAGATGACGCCTAATAAAAGTTGGTAGTATTGTTCCACTGAGTTAAAAGTGTTGAAAACTCTTATCAACGTATTGGTTTGAAGTTCACCTACACAAAAACTATTTCGATTAACAGAAAATGTACAAAATACTTTACATTAAAATCATTCGTAAGTCACTGAATGGTTTTTGTTGAAATTGAATATATATAAACAGACTTCTTAGCTGAACGTTCCTTTCCTGAAAATAACTTTTAACAGGATATTGCCTCTAGATAGCTGATATATGAAACTTGCTATCAGGGTTCCTTGGGTTACTACTCATAGCAGTGAACAGGAATCAAAATGGAACATGTACCACCATGACAACAGGGAGTTGCCACTTTTGCTTGCTTCTAGAATAGCTATCTGGACAGGTAACTAATTTAATCAAGACAATTCAGTAACTAAAGGCAAATTCAAATCCCCAACTTCGAGTTATCTTTTTATTGTGAAGGATAAGTAGCTTGAACCTGGAAAAAAGTGATTGAAAACCAAGTACTCTAACAACTACCTCATGGGCCACTCATCACAACGAGGAATAGAATGATTGTTATACAGCTAAGTATTAAAAACCGACAATAAACATGGGTTATTAGCAAATAATATGAAGAACATTGAGAACTGATCGATCAATATGAAAAAAAGCTAACATATAGACTTATGGAATCGTAACTCAAAAATGACCAATAACCAGTCGAAAACTGTCAATAGTCAATATATGTATCATTAAAATTTTCGTACGATCCATCAGGCTTCACTTAGCGCATGCATGAACATCAATAAAAAAAAGAATGAAGACTATTATTTACAAGAAATCTATTTTACGTTTAATGAATCTCTTCAGGTGATTTGAGATCACAGTGACCTTAATGAAGATAATCGTTGCGTACAAACACAAGTATGGAGTGAAAAACAGATAAATGTGCACAAATTTGTGTATGCAAAGAGTAGTTTGTTTCTCGAGTTTAGATTAAAAATGAAGTCATCGAACAAATGATAATGGACTTACGGAGGCTTTTATCACTCGTGAAGATAATACTGATTATAAATTGGGATAGATAAAAACAATTAAAGCAATAATGCATACAAACACGCAAAGAAACGGGTGAAATTAAGATTGTTTCAATAGTATTTATGACTAGAAAATGTTACTTCATGTTATAAAATTAACCTGTCAGGCATCCATGATGTGTTGCAGAGCTATATGATATGGCACTAATTTTGATGATAATAATAGTAATGACAGTGAATATGGAGAAGACAATTCAGAGAACACTGTTTGGATCAAGTAAGGGATCACGTTGGTGCCGATAGCGAAGAGCCGTCCATACTCCTAGAAGCTGTGGGCAAATAAAACATGATTGGAACAATAAGCTAATGAAAATAAATATGAGAATTTAATGATTAAGGAATTAACCACACAAACACAAAAAGAAAAGGGATGAGAATCATCGACCTGACATTTTTGAGCACACCTACATAATCATTTAATTTACATACACCTATTACCTACTGTTTTCATCACAGTTCTCTTCTCCCGTAGCTATATATTTAAATAAAAGACAAGCACACACAAACATAACTAATATCCACATCTTAAGCCCAATAAGGCAAACAGATTTACAGATATTGCACTTGACATATTTTACGCATGAGAATAACAAAAATAATTGTTTAGTGGCTGCAAGCCAAAAACTTTAAGAGTGCGATAAGAGTATATAATTTGAGTTCTCTTTGAATATTTTTGAGCTATTTATGTACCAATCATAAACTGAAGCTTTACATAACAAATGACCCATTGGTCTTGCAGAAACCATAAAAAGCTAGTAGTCAATTTGAACTTAGGAAAATGAAAATGAAGACAGTGTCGTAACTACGTTAAATCCGCTGGGAATAACATTCATGTAATACTGAATGGTGGGAATGTATGCTTAAAAAACGTATCAATAGTTCAATGAATTGAAACTTTTATTCATGGTTTTCTAACAGTTTATACACTGAGTAGTATTCGCCGACGCTGGAATCGGGAGGAAAAGCAGAAATGGTCAGCTTATGAAGTGATAATGGAAAGAATCGCAAGGGATTTTTTTAGAAACATTATACTCTGGTGCTGATTCAGATTAACAAGCGTGTAAATGTTATTTTTAAGAACTACAGAGTCATGATCCTAAACCTATTGATACAGATATATTTAGGGATCCTCAATAATTTTTTTCAGATTGTAATGATTCGGTTGTTTATGAGATTAGGTTTTCAGATCACACGTTCAACATATATTCGACATAACTATATCATTACGAATACATTCGTATATGTTTATATGACCTCTTTTACTAGTCATCCGACTGCTACCAAAAGTTTTTATCTCTCTGAATCTTTCTAACTGATTAGACATTTGATTATAGAAGGTCATCCTGAAGTACTGCTACTTTACAATCATGAGTACAGTAATAGTTTTCCACTAGTTGCATGTGAAATGTATGCTATAAGGTTAACTGATCAATATAAATATATGTTAAACTAGTAAAAGCATAAAATAGCAGTGACTGTAGCATAATTACAAGCTAAGAACTCACTTCAATGACGCTGAAGAAAAGGCTAGTTGCACCAGTAACTCGGACACCAGTTGATAACCGTTCTTGAATTACAGTCCAACAAGCTGTAGTACATGGGCAGAACGTGCTATTCCCCACATCTGAACCTTGGCAGCATTTAGCAGTTTTACCCTCAGGTGTATCGCAGCAAGACAGCTAGAGAAAATAGTGTGGTACTATTAAATCACCTCCTTAAGTTTGATTAAAAACTAGAACTGGATAATCCAGTCTGATATAAGCATAAATATCTTATCAGTCAGGGTTATAATACTTAGAACTACATTAACGGGATACAGAGTAATGGTAGAAAGTGCAAAGAATAAATAACCTAATCAGTCCCGACCGTTGCTGCTATCTTGACTTGGTGGTCTGGCTTGCCTATCGTGATGAACCAACCGAGTTATACTGGCTGGAACAATCATTCCTCAAGGTCTAACTATGCCAGACAGGTCGGTTGAAGAGCGGTGAGACTAAAAGCAGCAAACCCAAGTCGTACTGCTGACTGTAAAGAGGTGTGACGGCGGTAAGGTGTTTCCTTCAGACAACCAGCATAACGGCGATGCTGCCTTCCCACAAGGAGAGGTGGGGTTAGAAAACGTCGACCCTAAAAATGCACACCTCGCCTTACCCCACGGATTTCCGTCTCCGGCGGTAAGGTCTCAACAAGTACGGAGCTAACACTAAAATTACCCACAAAAAGGTCGTGTATGACCGACCTTAAGCAGCTGTCCCTTGGGAACTGCGGTCACGCTCCCAGGTCATTAAGGCCACTTCTAACCCAATTTCCCTTTCAGGTACTTCTAGAAGAACCCTTCCACAGTGTGGGCAATCGGGAAGTGATAATCCCCTCATACCTCTAACAGCACTCAAGACCACTGTATTCATAATCAATCACCTTCTTCAATTCCTATTACTCCTCCCACCTCGACTTTCAACACTAAACTTCCTCTTTCGGCTTCCTCCTCAGGTGTCATCATGGCCAACGATTCTAGTGCGCGAAACATTGTCCCACGTCTACTAAAACCTCGCTCCAAACTACACATTGGAGCCTTCAACGTACGTACCCTAAGTCAAATCGGCCAACAGGCCTCCTTGGCTAACACCCTAGAATCTCGTACCATTGATGTATGCTGTGTCTCCGAAACACGCATATACGATCTTAGTGTGTCATTTACTTGGTCTCACCTTGCCAGAATGGACAGCCAACGAAATACACCCTCCGTGTATCTGACGTCCCTATGGCTAGTTCTCGTGGACATGCAGGTGTAGGTACAGCACTTAGTACAAGGGCAGAAGAAGCACTATTAGAATGGATCTCTGTTAACAGTCGCCTGTGTGCTGCCCGGCTGAATGGCTCCGTAAGAACTCGGAAGGACAGGGACACACGTCGTTGCATTTTCGTCGTTTCTGCCTACGCTCCCACTGACTGCAGCCATGATGAAGTGAAAGGTGACTTACAGAAAGCTCTCTGAGCTTATTCAGAAAGTTAAGCGCTCAGACATAGTAGTCGTAGCGGGTGACTTTAATGCCCAGGTAGGCAGCTTAAATCAAACAGAAAGACATTTAGTATTTCGGCTCAACGAACCGATAATGGTGATCATCTGTTGCAACTATGCTCAAACAATCGTTTATTTTTAGCAAACGCTAACTTTAAACATAAGGAGAGACATCGCCTAACATGGCGACCACCTGCACCAAACCAACGATGGACTCAAATAGACCATATTGCCATCAGTCATCGTTGGAGAGGCTCAATAGAAGATTGTCGCTCGTATTGGAATACTTGTTTAGACTCTGATCACGCTTTAATACGAGCACGTATTTGTCTGCACCTCACTGGACGCAAAAAAAACTACACTAAGAAGACCCATTAGGATTGAACTGGAGGACGAGAAATCCAAATGTAAGTTCCAGGAACAACTGCGTTCACATCTAGGCAGTTCTGTAAACGAGACTGACCCAGATGCTGCTTGGAAAGACATACGAACAGCTGTGGAAACAGCAGTCACATCTATTAGTAATTTAAACCATAGGGCTCCAAAAAACCAGTGGATTTCTTCCAAGTATATTTCACTGATGGATTTGCGTAAATTCATCCCGTCAGGCTCTGAACACGACAAAGAGCGGAAACAAATCAAATATAGGCTGACTAAAAGTCTAAGAAACGATCGTGAGCAGTGGTGGGCAACGAAAGCAAAAGAGATGGAAAAGGCAGCGGCTGTAGGCAACACCAGGCAACTCTTCAGACTAATATAAGAAACCCGAATCTTCATCGACTGAGATGGTTAGGCCACGTGTTACGTATGCCTGAAAACCGATTACCATGATGCGCAATGCTGACTAGTGTAAAACATAGATGGAAGAAAGTTAGAGGCGGCTAAATCAAAACGTGGCATCGGTCCATAAAGTCACTAACTTCTAGTCTTAGCTATGTTGGTAGATGTAGACTACATGGTTGGGGTCTGCGTGACTATCGTAACCGATGGTTCGAGACTCTAGGTAACATGGCTCAGAATCTATCATAATGGCGCAGGTATATACAGTCTTCATCTTCTTTTAAACCTTGAGACTAAAATTGCTTCATATCTGTTTTTCTTCATGTACGATATGCTTATATACGACCTTTCTTTTATATGTTACCATCACTAAATTAACTACTTCCATGAATTTGGTGTTCATCTTGCTGTGCTAACGAGGTGTGGCAACTTGAACCGATGCATATGTGTGCCTGGTCCTACGTTGTAGCTGACTGACTGACAAAAGCAAAGTAACATATCAATTTACGATCCAGAACGAAAGTGTGGTAGTCTGAGTTGCTGAACTTCGTAACAATACAAAACAATCTAGGCCAACGTATCTGTACTAAGTTCTATGTTGTTGATGTCTGTCCGTAATAAGAAGCGGTAAATCAACATAAGACAACAAAACGGACGAGAAGCACAAGAATTGAAAACGGAAAACAAATAACGGGTAGTACAAAGTTCAGGACTTAAAAGGAGAAGGTTGGGTGAACCTGAGCTATGTCATCTATGGTTTCCAAACAATGATTTCCTCATTTGGAAGACTCGACACAATTCAGACTAACAATGACTTTATGGACTAATGCTACGTTTTAGTCCGGTATTATTTAGCTTTCCTCAAGTTTACTACAGCTTTGGACAGTACCTTCGATGAAAACTCTGTGTGACTATAACGTGATTTTATTTTCTAACCAGAAAAGCCAAAAACCCAAATGCAGTGGGTTAGTGTATAAGATAGACAATTCCTATTGCACTTCAGAGTTCTACTATTGACTTATACAGCCTAATCGATTGATTTAGCTGCCTTCCTTTGACCATTCAGTCTAAACCTAAAACTTTCTGCTCAGTGACCGATATTTCGAAGACATCTGCAACCAAACATCTGCAATCAACATATATTTTTTAATGGTTGCAGCTGTCACACAGACACAAAAACAAGGCTGTAATATTGGTTAGGGTTAAGTGGTAGACCATTAGTAATAAGGCTAGGAAGAATATCTAGATTATCAGCAGTATAATGTAGATTGTTTAAACATGCGCTATAAAATTAAAGGTTAGCAGTTTAGAAGAATTTCGTTTCTCAACAAACTGTTAATGAAAAGTCGGGAATCGTGAAGTAGTTTAATAAAATAATCCATGTCATTTCGTAATATGAAAAACTAAAGCAAAGCTTTAGGAGCGTTAATATGTATCCAGTTCATTACATATTCTATGTGCTTTTGGAACAAAACATAAAGTATATGACAAAGTAGATACCTAGACAAATGTGTACTTTTTCAAGTCATCGGAATTAGAAACGACAAATTCAATAAGATAATGAATATAATTAGTGCAGCTACTTACCTTGGCTAACTTGCACGGGGGATATCCCAATGCGGCAGATGAAGACAGATCGGCTCTACTGAAACCACAGCATTTAAACGCCGTCATGACAGTTAGTTTTGAGTTATTGGAGCTTTGCTTCCACGCTGTCTCAACTAAAATCTGTTGATAATCACTAGAGAGTGATAGACAAGCGCATGCTACAGAAAATTGGACGAGAAAGAGGCCGAAAAGTAGGATTATATACTAATAATTATTAAGGAACTATAGACGAGTTTTGTGAAGGGTGAAAATCATTCACTAAGTAAATCCGCGAGCATTAATTTAAGCCCTGAAGTGGAGTCCAGAATCTTTGACTTGAGTCTTAGGGATGTTACAGATTAGTGCCTACAATTAATAGATCATATAACTTGAAACCGATAACACTGCTTATCATCTCAATCCCCATATATCTTACACAGACATTATTTTATTTTATTTAAGCTCACAAATATTGGTACAAAGGAGCACCAGATACATATGCGCCACGCAAATCTCATTTGATTTGTGTGTGGGCTATGATACTGCCCGGATGCCCAGACCGAATATAAAGTCCGTCAGTCAGTTACAACGTGGAACTTCGTACATACGTACATCAGTTCGAGTTGCCATACCACATTAGCACAAAGATGCAGTTGTCGATTCAAATCCCATAGTGGTAGAGGTAGTAAGAGTATAAGCAGTAATCCGAAAGATTATTTTATTTATTTATTTAAGCACATAAATATTGGTACAAAGAAGCACCAGATAAATATGCGCCTCACAAATCTCATTCGATTTGTGTGAGGGCTGTGATACTGCCCAGGTGCCCAGACTGAAGCAGGTGGTTTTCTTAGGGGGCCACACCCCGAGCCTTTGACCTGAAGGTCTAGTCCACAAGGCAGTGGAGCATCGTGAGGAGATGCAGCCCCATGGTAGCCGGTGACCAACACTAGGTTCATACGCCATTCGTTCCACCAGGATACTGGAGCCCATGTGCACCATTGGTTTGGAATCAGGGTTTTCCAACTCCCCTAGGTGGACACTCCACATCCATCAACCCGGTTAAAGCGCCGGACATTCGCTTTTCGTCCGAAAGATTAGAGTTTGAAGATGTTATTCAAGGAGTATAATCCAGTGAAATAAATTTGGAAAGAGAAAAAAGATAGATATTAATATAAAAGGGACCAATTTAAGTTACTATCCTGTACAACAAAGGAAGACTAGATGAACAGTAGCATGTGAGCAAAGATCTTCATTACATTTTCTGGACGAGATAAAGTCCGACAAACAATCACCTACTTTCCACCAAGGTTGATAAGTTATAAGTTCGGGAGCTTCGTTTATCTGTTTGAGGAATGTATAAAACTTATGAAATTACGTTCAATTGATTTTAAAATGTTATATTACCAAGTCGAGTAACCTATGATAGTGAATTTTTAGCCATCTACTTTGTAAAACTGAAGCAATTTGACGAATAATCGCATTTTGTACATAATCGTACATTCAGTTAGGTTCTGGTCAAGTTTTCTATGGTTGGCAAAAATAAGGGCTGGTATTTATTGGTCGAAGAGCGAGGAAGCTTTCTTATTGTGCCAAGTACAGAAACGTAGTAGTTTCACACCAACGTGAAGTATTATATCTATATAGTGAAGTATATTATCTACTTCGCAACAGAGAAAAACATGATTACTCTAAGTCAAGAAACGAACTGAGGGAAGCTATCCATGAAAATACAAATGTACTTATCAAATAAACTTGATTCTTAAAAGGATACGAAAAATAATATTGGCTGGTTATGTTTGATAGCGCCCAACAATCCAGCTACAGCAAGCACAAAGAGGAAGACTCCACAAGCTATTATACCACCAACAATATGAACGCTCGTCACATAAATACTTAGCCGGGCATATGCAGCAACGCCAACAAGAATGAAAGCAATAACCTAAGAAAAATATTGGCTTTTTATATACATTTCCCAAATTACTAGGTAGAGTAAGTTTAGAGTTATGAGTAAGTATTTAGAAGATCTAAAACTGAGGGCCATTTTTCTACCAGCTTTCTGACAAGATGTTTCGCCTCTTAGTCGTGGTTTTGCAAGCAATGTATCTATACTTCTGAGTAGCTTGTGTGTTATTAGGAAAGAGCTCTAAACAGCTAATTAGTTTACATGATGAAAAGCAGAACAAAACAGCTTACCTTTACCGTTCGGTCAACTGCGGTCTCTAAATAAGGTTTTGTGTAGGATTTTATTGGAAAGTGATGGAAAAAGGTATAGTTGAAGATGTTTATTGACTCAGCTAACTCGATAATCTAAAAAAAGAACAATAAAAACGAAAATTGTAGACTCAGTATACATAGTAAACTTAAACCCAATAAAAGAATGAACGCGGATTTAAAGCATTGAGCTCAGCAAACTGAAAAAGTTGACACAGGGGTTCGGCAAAGTACCGCGAAGCTTGAAATGTAGCTCAACCTTCATATGATTCGAATTGTTTAAATGGTTGTGGACGGAATAGAAGAAACTTTCGCTTAACGTGCTCCCGCGTCCAGTAGCAGTGGATCACCAATACCTACAGGCATAAACCTAGGTACATTAATGACAGAAGAGTAAAAGGAAATTGGTGATTCATAGTAAGATACTATCCTCAGTCCTTAAGAATAGGTCAAGTTTCCTCTTAAAGGACTCCTGGGAAGTCTCTTGAACTGGCCCAGTTGGCAGCAAATTCCAGCACTTGACAACTCTTAAGGAGTATAAGTTGTGTGTACAGTCCGTTCTGCTATGTTGAGACTCCAGTTTCTGGATTGTACCCCTTGGGTTTGTATTGGGACTAAGCTTAAGTAGGTTCAAATGGTTCAAATGGTTGAGGACGGAATAGAAGAAGCTTTCGCTTAACGGGCTTCCGTGTCTGGTAGCAGTGGATCACCAATACCTCCAGGCAAAAACCTAGGTATATGAACGATAATAGAGGGAAAAAAGAATTTGGTAAATCATAATAATATGTTATCCTTAGTCCTTAAGAATAAGTCAGGTTTCCTCTTAAAGGACTCCTGGGAGGTCGCTTGGACTAGCTCTAACGGGTACTCTAACGGGTAAAGGTTAAGTGATTGGAGGTGCTCTTCATAAGGTTTGAATTTGAGTCCTCGAACTGATTTTGTGGCTCGCCGTTGGATACGTTCCAGAGTGTCTTTATCCTTTTGGAGTGAGGAAGGAAATACTACGTTTTCGTGCTCTGGATGGGGACGAATAAAACTGTTGAAAATTATGTGGAAAGTTCTCCCGTCAAACTGGTCAAAAATGATCTTCAATGTTACCAGTGCAAGATTTGCTCGAAAGGAAATTCGGTCACAGTAAGCGTCAGACTTCAAATCGTGGGGTACCAGCTCTTTTAAATATTTTTCGTCCTGGGATACTTTTAAAAAGGAGTTTCCTGAGTTGTAACTATAGTCTGCAACATGTCTCAGATGAACTAATTCACACTTTGAAGTGTTGAATGTAAGTCCGTTGTCGTCTGCCAAACTTTGAAGTCGAGTCAGATCCTCCTGAAGTGCCAGTATATCCTCTTGGTTGCGTATGCCTCTTCAAAGTTTCATATCATCAGCAAAAAACAATAAGTCAGACGATACTTGTGGAAGATCGTTTATATAAATCAAGAAGAGAAGAAGTCCTAGTATTGGGCCTTGGGGGACCCAATAGGACATTACGTAGTTCGAGAGAAAGTACAGTTAACCGTGACCTTAAAATGCCGGTTTTTTAGATATGAAGTGAGCCAGTCAATTAGAGGTGGTTTGATGCCCAATCGTTTCAGCTTATTGATAATATATATATATATATATGGTTGACCCCATCAATTGCTTTTGAGAAATCAAGGTAAATAACGTCAATTTTCCTTTTACGATCAAGGATGCTTATCCATCTATCCATCACAGTCAGCAGGTTGGTTATACAAGAGTGACCCTTCCTGAAACCACACTGTTGGGGTGAGAAGAACTTTAGGGACTATAAGTAGCCGTGCATACCATCGCATATCAGGGACTCCATAGTCTTTGCTACTGACCGGTAGCCTGAAGGTTCGCTGCTTCGACCTCCTTTGAAAGTTGTTGTGATGTAAGCCAGCTTCCAAATTTCCGGTAGTTTGCCTCGACTTAGCGAGTGTGAAATTTTCAAGCTAAGCAGTTTTGCCAGGATTGAAGTTGCTTCCCTCAGTATAGCAAAATGATAGTTTTTCTCTGGGGAGCCAGAATTGAGAGGTCGTCAACTAGGAATCTTTCATTTGTAAATACCCAATCTAAGCACGACGGCGTCTGACTGTTTCTCAAAGGAGTTGCCGACTTCACATTTTCCAATAATCCCAGATCATCAATTAGGTTGAAGAACTGAGCTTCAGTAGAGTTTTCACCTCCGATATTGGTATGTCCCGTGAAGTTGACTGTAGAAAGATTGAAGTCCCCTAGAATCAGGATATGAAAGAATCCGAGACGCGTAGAGCGAGTTAATCCTCCCAACATACAATTGTCATACTCGATGTAAGCAGTGACCTTCCTGTAGATGGCCTTAAATAGACACCTCGAGATTGTAGACAATCTTACTGAGCACCATACTGACTCGTCAAGATTGGGGAACTCTTGGTTGTGAAGTTGGTGTACCTCCAGACATGATCGTAAATACAAGGCCACTCCGCCCCCCATTCCTGTTTTTCTGTCGTCGCGGAACAAAGACATTCCAGGTATTGTTAGCTCCTGGTCTGTTAACTGAGAAGATACCCAAGTTTCGGATATTCATATCAGATGAGTATTATTGGCGTTGCCAAGTTCACGTAGCTCCATTTTATTTGGCAAACTCGCGGCGTTCATGTACAGGCAGTTTATGCTTTGAATTTGAAACGTGTGAACTTCGTCCTGCTTGTCTATGTGAGCCTCACGTGAGTGGACAGGTAATCTACCTATGCAAGGTTTTCGGAGTTGATAGCCCCCGTATTTCACACGTTTTTTATGATCAACACAGTCCACAAGTAGAATTGTCAGCTCCATCCTGTGTTTGTGCCTGGTCCTGGTGTCATGTGGTCTATCCGGATGCATATGGAATCCAGTTGCCAACCGACGTCTGTTGGCATAGAATTCTTTGAGAGTCGCAGCCGCCATATGGGAGGATGGGAAGGTTATCTTCATTAGCCGGGGTCTAGGGTCTCCGTATTTCTTGGCCTCGTCACCTGTTGAGTCAGTATGTTTTTCAGTTTCTAGGAATGTTTGGTGAATTTCCATTCCCGAATATCAGAGTTTGCCTGATCTAGGTCCGTATTTTCCAGTACACCTTGCACAATCATGTTTCTCCCGCGGAAAAACGCCTCGCAAGGTTCAATAAAGATGTTCAGGATGATATTTCGCTCACAATACGGAATGTCAGGCAGTATTCTTACGTTCCCATCGGGTTTCAGTAAGTGACTAGCTAGCAGGAAGTCCTCCACGTCGGAAGCATTCTTGTGTGTTACACGAAGTAGCTTCGGATGATTTTGATGATTAGAACCCTTCCTCCGAGTGAGCCGTGTGGCCGTCAAAGGCTCTATTCTAGGGAGTTCAAGCTTCTTGTCTTCAGTCTTCAGAATCAAATATACCCAATTTTTTGATGCTGTTTTATTTTCTGACCTAGATGGTTTGGTCATGGAGCTTTCATTGTCCTTCTGAACGACATCATCTGACGTAAGCTAGTAAGAAATGTCTAAGGTATTTTCTTCTCATGGAGTTAAATTTATAGTTTTGATCGTTGAATATGTGTTATGACTACTATTTTCACTGTAAATAGAAATATCCCAGTTAAAGTATTCACAATGTAGATGCACAGATTGATGTGAAGTTATCTTAAATAAACTCAGAGTCCATTGACTTGCCAGAAACAAATAAGAAAAGACCGTCTTCAAAATCGCCTGTTAGGAATGAAGGCTGAAGAATGCAGGTTTCTTCTCTTCCCCACCCTCTAAATGGTAGCGGCCGAGAAACGCATAAAAAACCTAATTGAAAGGCTTGGTCTGTCTGTAGCAGGAAAAACAAAATTCAGACCACCTGAGTCATCTATAATCATCTAGTACTTCATGGTGTATGTTTGACGACTTTATGATTGCCATTACAATGAACGTTCATGAATGGGTACAAGTCGAGAATAAGAAGCGATCTAATGTTGCCAAAGAAAAGCCAGTCCACCTAAAAGTAGCTGGGAAATCAAAAACTGATCATCGTTATAGGCAAGTTGTCTTTGGCAGAGTCGTGGAGAGTGAAAGCTCGGATACGAGAATGCGTTTTGCGCTAGATCTTGCGTTGATAAAAGAACTATTGAACCAGCCAATCCCTCAGGATATCTCCGGAGTCACCATGCTAAAGGTCTAGAGACTAGGTATCTAAAAGTGCGTGAAACAGGATCGTAGGTAGTAGTCAAATGTATCAGTGAAAGTGACTTAATGGATCCAAACGAAAGGGGTCAACAGCTTTTGTCTGCAAAGACCTTGAATTACTTTGATTAAGGTTTTGAACTTTCTTCTAATCCATTTTGAGTTACTGCTGTGGGGAGTAGTGTAACGTCGTGTACTATATTACACCTACATAGCTTATTCTAGTTTCTGGACAAGCCAATTCACCTATAACGTTATGAGTCATGTTTTGATCTTGTTAATTATTAGCTTATTGACCTTGACTATTTTTTTATATGAGCGTATGTGTATGCACACTTCTTATCCTACCTATCACATGTCTGTCATTCATTTTAGTCTGACTATAAATGTTGATTAATGCTTGCTTATAACGAGTTGGCTTCCCAGCCATCTCCACTATGCGTCATCTTTCCTTCGCTTGCTTGCATTTGCTAATGTGCTCACTGCCTTCTAGCCCATGTTATTTATCAATAAAAATGTAGTTGCTGCTTCCCTTTGTCTTCTGATATCATACACCGTTCAGATTGTTATAATAACGGTTATCAAGACGAACTATGAACGAAGCACTACACTACATATTGGTAATCCCGACGTACGAACACGCAACACTATTGGCGATCCCGAATTACGAACGCGAAGCAAAGTTGGCAACCTCAACGTATGGTTACATATTGGTTAGCCCTACATGCGAACACGTAACAAAATTGGATGCCTCGCCGAACGAACACTCAACATATTGGTTAGCTGTATTTGGAACACGCAACAGAATTGGCGACCGGAACGAGCGAACAGAAACCAAAAATGGAACCGTCGACGACATATATCGTTATGATTCAAATAATCATCATATGCTCATTATTACAATAATGTCATATCATCGTCTAACGTGGAATTATTATTTTTGTTCGTATTGACATTAAACTATGACATTTACGCGGTCATATCACTAATCGAACAAATTATAATGATATGGACATTGCACGTTATGATATTCGAAACTCACTGGATTATTTTTATTATCCAATGACGTACAATTTTCCTGATTCAAGTGAGTTCGTTCCAATTTTTTTTTAATGTCATTTTCGGCTTAATATTACACTCTATCATAGACATAAGTTTGGAGTCATACTCCCGATAGTAGGAACTTATGTTCTCG